GAAGTTGTGAACATGCTTTTCTATATATTCAGTTTAAGAGTGATATCTCTTAAATATTTGAGAATATTAATTGTGATTATGAGATTATTATTGTCTATATATAATTGAATGATATTATATTGAATTGAAAGCAATGAAGGAGATATTTTTATGAAAATCAAATTTACTCCATTAAAGTTTTGATTATGAATCGGTTAAAAGATATTGAGTTAGCTTTAAGACAACTGATTTAGACATTGACATACTCGAGAATGTGTCTTCTTAACCATTTATATTAAGACCTCATATAGTGTGTGAAAGATTGAAATTATATTCAATGTTAACTATTTAAGAAAGTAGAGTTTTAAAATATTCACTAGGTGATTCTTATAAGAAAATCTAAATTATACTCTACAATGCTCTATATAATACCTTCGACTTTTACAAATCACTATCTTTCTTCAGTATTTTATGTTTTCCTTTTCAGAAAATTCCGCAAATCTCTTTATATATTATTAACTTAAGTAAGAAAAAATTCTTTAGAATTTTTTGTGAGCTATGACGCTCTTCCCACCTTCGGAATCTCCTTATTTATTTTTAAAACTGCTTTAAAAAAAAATGCTTGTGTTAATCAAAATTTTATTTTATGGTCAAGTTATTTAAGTTATAGTTTAGTACTGATCTTATTTTAAAGAATGTTATTTTTATATTATCCATGAGATACAGTTCAATTTTAATGTCAACAAAATAAGCATTGTTATTATTTTTAATTTGGTAATAAATAAATAAAAATAATAATAAGTGAAATAGATTTTCATTTATCATAAGGTGTGTGGGAAAAATTATTTTATTAATTTCATAAATGAGTATTGATGTTATGCATTTGTCTAATCTCGTTTTATGTTGAAAAACACACTGATAAAGATTTTAAATTATTAATGAAGATCGATATTATAGTGAACATGATAATTTTGGTTAATATGCATAACCTCTTATTAATTTTTTTTTTTTGTTGTAAAATTGTGGAATCAATTTAAACATATCATGCTTGTAACTTCGAAAGAAAGTTGAGTACTTGCGTGTCGTATTGGACTCCAATAAAATGATGAGTGTTATGTTAACATGTTTAAATTATACATAGTTTTTGTGATAAAATATTTTTAATTGCTATGTATACTTATGTATACTTTATACATGGTACTAAGTTAAAAATATTTTTAAAACACTTTTGAATTACGAACTAATATAAATTTAGTTAGAATAACTTTTGAGTTTGGGATTGTACAAAAAGAAAAAAAAAAAATTTATGATATATTTTTTAAATCAAAATGGGACCTATAGCTATTTGTTGTTGCTGGTAAGTTGTCAATGGTTCTATTATCTTGCTTCTGACATAAGAATCTTTTAAGTTTTTAAAATGTGAAGTTATTAGATTGATGAACAATTTAAATATATAAATCTCTCTCTTGAACTTTCAATTATACATAGGCAATTAGTATAATTTCACAAGAATATGCTGCGAATAAACTTTAGCAATATTCTTAGGTGTGCCAGAATGTATCACTATATAAACACCTTTGGGTTGAATATATAGAATACAATCAACATCTTTAAACTTTAATATAATCTTAATTAATTATACATGGGCAATAATTATAATCTCACAACAATGGGCTGCAAATAAACTTTAACAATCTTGTTAGATGTTTCAGAATGTATCATCATATAAATACCTTTGGGCTAAATATATAAGACACATTCTAACACCTATAAACAAGTCAACTAGCAAGAATGATTTATCAAGAAATTATCTCCTTTGGGTAGATAAATTCTTTCAAAATCAATAAAATTTCCCTTACTAGCGGCTCACACTACCTCTAAAATTAATACACTCAATTAACCCCCTTTGGGTAGGTAATTGAGTGATATAATATTAGAAGAGCTTCCCAGAATCCTTATTGGTAAATCACTTTAAATCTCAATAAGTTAACCACTTCGGCAGTATCACCCATATTGATTCAAAATCTTCCAACTGGGACAAAAATAAATATTTGTCCACCTTTAAAACTTTATTTATTTATTAACAATAATGCAATCTGTAACCCATCAAAGCATATATAATATCATATTACGAATCACTACTAAACAGTTACTCAAGAATAATATCTCGCATATGAATTTACAAAATTATACCAAAGTGATATACATGATATAGAACTCTTAAACAATCTTAATGTTTATGTAAAAGTCATAAAAACGAATATGTTTCATATGTTTTGCAAATATTTGATTAGGTAAGATTTGAAATATATATATATATAAATATATATCAATACAGATTCAATATACACATGTCCATACTTCACAATTTTCGTAAAACTACCAGATCTAAATTACCTTTTTATTTATTTATTTATTTATTTATTTATTTATTATTTTATATAATACAATTGGAAGCAAACTATCAATACTCAAACAGTATGTACTCGTTACATTGAAAAAGTTTGCTTGAAATTACTAAAGCACAATTTTGAGATGCAAAAACATCATTCAGTAAAAGAAATATTAATTTATTCCTTATCATTATATAAAATAATTTTACTGAAATAATCTGCCATGATTTTGATTCTAGTATAAACTTGCTCTGATACCACATGTAAGATTTTAGGATCTATATACTAGAAATCAAAACAATATGAATATAAGTAACTACTAAAATATAAACTCAGATACATACCATTTGATTCCGTTATTGTCTTGAGTTTTGCTTCCTTGAAAGAATATGGCATTCACAATTGGAAAACCTTAGCACCAGCTCTTCCCCTCCTTCTCCTAATCTTTTTTGTTGTCTTTTTAATGGGGCTGACAACCCTTTGATCTACATATATATAGATATATGTAAACCCTAATAAGGATAGGAGAAGGGACTGGGCCTAAATAAAACAATTACTAGGCCCTCCTATTAAGGAACCCAAATAACTTAAAACAGGGCTTACACCTCCATATCACATATCCACATATAAAATAATATATACACCAAGATGACCATGGCCTAAACTTTATGGATCACAATAATAATTTTGGACTCATACCAGTCAATCTATCTGAATCACGTTCAACCCGTTTTTCACAAACCAAACAAAATATAGTCAATGACAGCCTAATTAAGAATAAATTCTTACATACCCCAGTGGACTTCAACCATAACCCTCCTTGTATCAACTGAGCCACTATAGACTTCACAGCTTCGGTCGCACTAGTAATGACATGATATCCAACCCATATGACATGCTTGCTGGTATCTACACCGGGACCGTCATTCATATACTCACCATAATATAGCGTAGTCAAAGTAAAATCACACTAAAGGTCAATATAGTTCCCAATGTATGCTTCCATGAAAATAGTCCTCGCATAAGCCTTCCATGGATGACCCAAATACGATTTTATAGTGCCTTTAATGAGCTCAAGGTCTGAGCTGACTGTCACATTACAGCTTTGGATTAAAGTTCCAGTGTTTTGGTTTGGGTCAGTTCGACCTTGGGCCGTTACTGTGTTGAACTGTCCACTCATGGGCTTTCGGCACACTATGTTACAGTTTTCGAACACAACCGCTGCGTTGCCAAAGATGAAGTCCACTGTGCCAGTAATATAGCTGTCTCTGTAGAATTGCCTGTAAGTGTAGGTGTAGAGAGTGTTCTGGTAGGCATCAATGCGACAACGATTTATGAAGGTTCGGTCACCTCCGACGCGTAACGCTACTGCTTGGTGCTTCGCCGCGCCGGCTGTGTTTTGAAACCACATGTCTTGGGCCATGAATCCATCACCAACAGCAGCTACAGTGGTAATGACAATTGTGTTAATGAAATGATTTATATTTAACATTAAAAGAGAAATAAGACATTTAGGCCCGTTTGTTTTGGAGTATAGAGGGAGGGATGAGATTAAAATAAAGGTGATACTCATTTAATGTTGTGCTTGTTTGAAAATTTGGGGAACGAATTGAGATGAAGGTCCGGATTAGGTTGGGCCATGGAAAGGAGATTGGGAAGGAGGAGGTGGAGATGGTATTAGAAAAGTCTGCCGGACTATTTTTTTTATTTTTTACATGTTGGGCATTTTTTTTCTTTTTGAACATTAATGTTTGATTTTTTTGTATTTTTTGTTAAGTAAAAATCATTGTTTTTTTTGTTTTATTTTTTTTGCTATTTTTTACATGTTAGCCTTTTTTTTTTTGAACATTAATGTTTAATGTTTTTGTATTTTTTATTATTTGTTTTATTATTTTATATAAAAATAATTTAACAGTCCGTACACCAACAACTATCATCAAAATAAACACAATTTTACTTAATCCTCTCACTATCAATCCTTTCAGTATGAATCTCCTTCATTCTGCTTCTGAAAATAAATGGACCTTAAGTATGTGTGATTTTAATATCATTTTGTTTTTCAATTTTAACTCGAATAGATAAATTATATATTTTGTTGACGTATGTTTTACTAATAAGAAACAAAGTAAGATTGTTGCAGGAAAACTATATATCAAACTAAATCAAAGAGTAAGATGATTTACCAACAGTTGCAGAATTGAATGTTGTAGCTCCATCAACCACATTCAGGCTACCAGTGATGATGGTCAAATCCATTCCATCACCAGTAAGCATAATATTCTTCTTAGTCTTCCCAATCACAACATTTTCATTATAAGTACCCTGCTTGACATAGATAACATAACGAGTGTTGCTATTGTTCGGGGCTGAGGCCACAGCTTCACTCACAGTCTTATAGTTCCCACTTCCGTCCTTCGCTACCACCACGTTGGCGTTGACAGTCCCCGCCAACACCTCTAAAAGATTTCGGTCCCTAGCCATCACCCACCGTGGAAACTCCTCGATCAACCGCGGCGGCTCAAACTTATTTGAGGCGTTGAAAGAGAAAAATTAAGTGAGACCCTTTATACAATTTTAATATTTTGGGATGCAAAATTATTAATCAAATTTTTATTCAAATTTGTTTGACATAATTAATGTATCGTGTGCTGTGATAAATTTTATGTATCTATACTATATATTAAGCAAAATGAGGTTTTTAACCCCAAGCCTTGTGGGAGTTCCAATCTCCCAATCTAAATTTTCTGATTTAAAAAAAAATCTTAGCATTTATTAATTTCTCCCAACTCCCAAGTCTTACCATCATAATAACACTTTAATGCATTAAGAACAAGCATAAAAAAAATTCTTTGAAATCCAACACATATAAATTCCTTAAAAAGTCCCAACAGATATGATTATTATCCCTTATAATAACATTTTAATGCATTAAGAACAAGCATAAAAAAAAATTTTGAAAAGTCCAACACATACGATTATCAAAATATTAAACTTTAATATAATATAATAAAAACAAGATATTTAATTTCTTGAAAAGTCCAACAGATATAATTATTATCAACATATTAAACTTTAATATAATATAAAAAAAGAAAAAAAGAAGACATTTACAAAAAAAAAAAAAACATTTAAAAATTACAATTCACATATATAGTTAATTATAAACACAATCCGTGCATAGCACGGGTAATATGCTAGTATTTTATTAAGGAGAAAGCTTGTCCACAAAATAAACTGGATGGTGCTTCGAGCCAGTGGGGTCATCACGGGTCCTATTTCAATGATTCGAATTGTTAAATATGTAGAATTCGTCAAGTATTTCGTTCTTGTCAAAAATCACGTTGATCGGGTATCGATAGCCCTTTGATCAGAACACATTTTTATCAATAATTTATTTTCAAAATCATATTTACCACTGAAAAAAATATGATCTAATCAGGGGCTATTGATATCCCTGATCAACGTGATTTTTTGCACGGATGAAATACTCGATAATTTCTACACATTAAATGATTCGAATCATCAAAATGAGACATGTGATGCGCTTCACGAGCCTAACAGCACCGTCTAGTCCACAAAGTGGACTGCAGACAAGCCTGCTCTTTTTATTAATTTTAATTTTAATTTTGAGTTTATTTTATTTTATTTTTTATTTTTAATAGAAGCAACTATTACATCTATTATCAATAATATTTCGTAAGTGATGCATGCGTTTGAAAAGTAATTTAATATTTTTATGTCATCAATTGGCTGTTTTTCTCTATTTGGATTTTATTTTATTTTATTTTTGAAAACTTTTGAATTTGGAAACAAATATAAACCATCAACATTAGAAAAAGTGCAATATTTAGGATAACATTGAAGATTCACTCAATAATTTTCCAACAATCATCTTTTGAGTGATTTTAATTTCTTAAAACATAAAAACTCAAAATAAATCTTATATTTATAATTTCCAAACCTACTTCAAATTGACTACTTGGCCTTTTTACCAAATTTTATTTTTATGTGACATGTATATTGTAAAAACAGCACCCTCAATTCATCCGAATGAGTCTTTTTTCGGGAAGAGACTCGCGCACAGAAGTCTCTTTCCGTGAAAAGACTCATTCAAGTGAATTCAGACTAAACAAATTTGGTGGACAAATTATCAATCTTGAAAATAAAAAAATAAAAAAAAAGAAGGAAGAGTCCTGCATAAGTCCAATTTCAAATTTTGGATAATAGCCCCCAAATTCTATTATTTTGAGGACAAAATAACAAAACAATTTAAAATATCATATTACTTCTACCAATTTGTATATATCATTACAAGAAATGTCACTTTTGGCTACTAAAATATTGATCGCCAAAAGTCCAATATTTAGTCGCCGAAACCATTTAGCGACTAAAATATTTTGTCGCCAACTCGTTGCCCATACCCTGTCGGCGATAGTATTGGCGACTAAACTATTTTTGGTCGGCAAAGATTTGGTCTACAGCGACTAAAAGGAATTTTGTCGCCGAAACTGAACATTTGGCGACCAAAATTTTGGTCGGCAAAGATTAAAAATTAATTTTTTTATTTTCATTCGGCTACCAAACAATTTAGTAGCTAAAGGTGCCTCTACGGCTACTAAATTTTCTTTTAGTCGCCAATTGTGATATGTTTAGTTACTAAAAATTTTTTAGTCGCCAATTGTAATATTTTTAGCTACTAAATTTTTTTTAGTCGCCAATAATCAACATTCCCCTACTAAAAAAAATTAGTAGCTAAAAAGTTGACTTTTGCCGACTAATATTATTTTTGATAGCCAATTCCGTGACTTTTGGCGACTAAATTGTTTTTGGTAACCAAAAATAGTCAGCAAAAATGCATTTTCTTATAGTGTATGTTCACTCTCCATCTATTTGTCTATGTCACCTATTTATTTATCTACTATCTTTTTATTTATCTATTTATGTTATTATCATATTTATCCACTTAATCTGCTTATTTATCCATATTACCACAACCTCCAATCAACATCGTTGGTGATTTTTCTATCTCTGGCGGGTGTCTCGAGACAATGAAGTAGAAATAAAAATATATATTTTTGAAAATAATAATATATCTTTCTCACCAAACAATGACGAATAATGTATGTGATCGATATCTTCTCTATCCTTAATATTTCTTTTCTTGTATAGTGCTTAAAACGAGGACTTTAGGTTGTTTACTCACCTCATCATCCTCCGGTGGTGATATTGCAACCATCATGGCTAGAGAAGCTCTAGATCTTGCCACCATGTCTTCGAGCTCAGGCTCCATCATGGACCGGGCCAACCCGGTTAACCCATCTAGGCAAGTAACATGGTTGGTGAGAACACCACTGAGCCATGAATGGGCATCCGAATGTGACTCGGCTGTCCTTTTCTCAACTGCCACCACAGAGCCCATCACTCTATCCATTGACAGCTCCATCAACTCCAGGCAATCTGCTAGAGGCCCTTGCTCTCTCTTGTCGTTGATCCGACGGCTGATATCGCTCGCTGTCTCGATAGTCTTTCGTAAGCCCGATGCGGATTTCTTCAAGAAGGCCTGCAACAAATCAGGGCCCTTCATTTGCATCAAAATTTCAGGGGGAGCAAGTTCTAATACCATGGCGGAGCATGAGGCCCGATCAAGAGCCCGATCGCAAAGGGTGGCTGAGAGAGAGAGAGAAGAAGAAGAAGAAGAAGAAGAAAAGGTTTGATTGAAGAGGTTGGTGGTGAGTATGGAGATTGGGGTTATGATAGCAACTAGAGTGAGAACCAAAGAGAGAGATTTGCAGAGAGAGAGTTTTCTCTTGGGAGTGTCTAGCAGTGGTTGATTAGCAAAGGCTGCCATGATGTTAGTGATGTTGGTTTAGCTCTGCTGGGTTTGGGGTCCTTAAATAAGCTGAAGAATTCTAAGGACCCGTTTGGTTGAAGTTATTTTAGTATTTTAGGATAAATTAGAAATACACCCTCTGCTCTTTTGTTTTTTTTTTTTTTTAAATTATGAATTGTCCTATGAGATTTTAAAAATTACATCTTGCCTCTTGGAATTTCTAATTTCATAACAAATAGTCCATTTTATTCTATGTTACGTAGATTCTTCAAATAAATCAAATACCTGTGTCAGGCATCCAACACCCGAACAAGGATGTGAGATATTTGTTCGATACTTTCCATTAGATACTTCGTATATATTTATATTTAACACTATCTTACATGTATCATTTATTGTGTAATTGCTATAAAATGCCATTTTTCAACACTATGTGGTAACCATTTATCTCACATAATAGATTAAAAATATAAAAATAGCCCCCCCTCCCAAAGTGCAATTTCTGAGTTGGCTAACTTGGAGAGGCATGTTTAAGTCCTCAGATTTCTTGCTTAGGATTGGAGTGTTGAATCCTAATGCCAACACTTTGTGTGTGTTTTGTAAATTTGAAGTGGAGTCCATGAATCATGTGTTGCTACATTGCCATATGGTTTGAAGAGTATGGGCTGATATTGTCAAATGGCGGAATTTGAATTGGGTCATCACTACTACAAAAATAGTTAAAGATCACATTTTGACAAAAAAAAAGATCTCACTTTTATTGAAAGTGTGATAAAAAAAATTAGATTGATATTTTAATCACACTTAATCTGATTAAGTGTGATAATATTTATTTTTTATGTCACTTTTCAATTAAGTGTGATTATATAAATGTAAGGTTCAGGTGAAGGAAATGTGGAAAGTAGTCCCATTAACTTTGATGTGGTTTGTGTGGAAACTTAGGAACGAATGTCTGTTTAAAGAGGCAAAGCCAGATTTTGCTAAGTTGGTTGAGTTGGAAAAGGTCAGAGTTGCTATGTGAGCATAGGCTAATTTGAAAGAGTTGAAATACTCAATTCATGATTTAGTCTCTAATCTGGAGCAGGTATGCTATTGTGTGCAGTAGGATGTTGTTGATGCATGAATGGAGTGAATCTAGTTGCTGCTGGTGGTGGTCTGCTGTTGGTGAGAGGCTTTTGCTGGTTTTTTCTAGGCTGCATCTTGGGTTTGTTGTTAATTTTTTGAAGGATGTTTGGAGGTGTGGTGCTGGTGCTTAGTGGTAATTTTGGAATGATGTTTATAATAAATTTGGGGCTGTTACAGAGCTGATTGAGTTGGTATAGGGTGTTGATGGTTTTCTGGGCTACTATTGATGTTCCTAATTAAATTTGGGGCTACTGCTACTCTTGCTGCTGGTCTACTGATGGTGAAAAGTCTGCTGCTGGTTTTCTGGGCTGCATCTGGGTTTGTTTGCAAATTTTGGCATGGGTTGTTGGTCTTGTGGGACTGATGCTTTGGGCTAATCTTGGAATGGTGGCTGAGTCTAGTGTGATTTATGATCTGCTGTTGGACTGCTGTTGGAATGTTATGCTGAGTTTGCTGTTGGAATGCTATTGTATTAGAAATGGAGACTGAATGTTATAGCTCAAGTCTGGTGTTTTGTTTTGGTCTCATCATTTAAGCAAGACTACTAAATGAGGGTTGTTTGTTGTTTTGAAATGTTTAGTTAATTTGAATGGAGCTCATGGCAGCAGGGTTTTTTGAAATGTTCTGAAATGCTTATTGGAGATTGGTTGTACATGAGGTCTAGGTGTGGTGACTAGTAACAGCAGTTTGGTGACAGTATATGGTGCAGTATTGTAGCAGCAGTTTGGTGAAGTAAATATGATGCATTGAAATATTGAAAGTTATGGATCAAGGATGGAGTCATGAAACAAGTGCTCTGCTTAGGTGTTTTCAAGGTAGCAGAATCATAAAACAGATGCTCTGCATTGAAGTACTGATGTTTGCTGATTGGTTTTGATGATTGGCTTCTGATGCACTGTTAGGTGATACACTGCTAATGTTGAAGCTTTGTTGATTGGCCTCTTAATGCTCTATTGTTTGAAGTTGTTGCTGCTATCTGTTGCTGGTGCAAGGCATACTGGTGTATGTTGCTGATGTCTGTTGCTGCTGTCCTAAGGCATAGGGTAGCAGGTGAAAGTTGAATGCTGCTGCTGTTGGTGTAACGCCTGTGCTAGTGTTTTTGCTCATCTAATAGTGTGCATAGGGCAGCAGGGGGAAGTTTATCTAGTTTGTGGCTACCTTGGTTATAAATTGTTGGAGTTCGTTGGGGGAGAAGTTGGCAGATTAGGAAGGTTGCCCTTGCTGTGTGGTTGGGTGGTCTTTTTTTTTTTCTGTTTTTCGTTGTGTTTCTCTGTTCTTGATTGGTTTCTCGCCAATCTGTGGGTTAGTGCTAGCAGATGATTGTGCTTCCTCCTTGGTGCCAACCTAGTTGGGATTGTGGAGTGTTAGCTATGATGTTTTTTGCACTTACCTCCTTTATTGATGTATATCGATGCTTGTTTTTGCTCATATCATCAATAAAGTTACCTTTTTCTTTACTGATAAAAATATATATATATATATATATATATAAACATATCACTTTTTTGCCGAGTCCACGTACCTTTAAATTTGAGACTTGATGAGTCTAACCTCTAGATAAGCACATACATTTGATACTCGTACCCAGGTCCATGTAACATAGATTTTATTAATAAATTATCAAGTTAATTGATAATTTTTAATTAGATCAAAATTTTATTTCAATTAATAATTCGGGTAATTTTATTATTCTACAGGAGAGTAGTTAGAAATTTCATTTTTTTTAGTTAATTTTATTAAATAAAAAATTCTGACAAGAAAATATTTATAAGTTTTCAAACTATAGGGAGAATTCGTATTTTAAACAAATTACAAGGAGTGCATTTATAATTTATCCTTATTTTTATTTTAGGATAAATTAAACTAACTTCTCTTTAGATTTTGAGAAAATTCATTGAGCATTCAAAACTTTGGCATAATTATATTAGGCTCTTTAAATGTTTTAATTTGTACAGCACTTTTAGGGTGACTTGGGATATTCTAAATAAATATACTTTTTGACTTTTTATAAAAATAAAAAAATATATATGTAGAAAAGTAAAAAAAGTGGGTAGAAAAGTAAAGAAGAGATGTTGATTGATGTGACCCAAATAAGTATATGTATGCAAAAAAAAGTACACTTTTATAGTGCATGCCAAACACCTACTTAATCACCTTTCTCATCAATAATTTTAACTTTCACAACACTTAAACATATTCTTCATTAGTAATTCGTTAGTTATATAGATGAAAAGTAGTATTTTTGACTTTTTTACACTGAACTATATATTTTAGGAAAATTTATTCATAAATTCTATATGGGGAATATTGATCCGTTTAGTACGAGGAGTTTTCTTAGGAAGTGGAGATGTTACGCGGGCTGCACAATAGCGGCTGCTGTGCGGCAAAATGGGCTCATTTTGATAATCTGAACTGTTCACATTTTAGAATATATCAAGTAAAACATGTTTATAAAAAATTAAGTTAATCGGATATTCTTTATCCATTCATCCACTCACATTTATATATATATATATATATATATATATCATGCCACAAGCCAAAAGAAAGAAAGCACCCAAGCTTGCTTCTTTCCTTTTTGGCCTCGCCTTGTTAGGCTGTTTTTGACTTGTCGGTCTTGATGCCATGTGTAGAGGCTTAGCTCTCTTGATCAATCGATCCATAAGTTTGTCAGTCAGTCAATCGGAGACCAATGCTCCCTACGCATTGTTTACTGTCAGAAAATATGTAAAAAAATATTTTAAAAATATATAAAAAAAATATTAAAAATTGTTTGGATTATGTTTTAATTACCGAGGTAAATAGGAAGGATGTTAAGCATGCCCGTGAGGCAGCTAAGTCAGCATTAGTTAAGTGCTGCCAATTTTTGATTTGTGTGTATGACTGTATCTTTTATTAGAATGGATGTTAGTTACTCTCTCAAAACTAAGAAGGTGGTGCCCCTTTAAGTTGAATAAAATTGATTAAAAAAAATATTCTAGTTATTAAACTCAATATAAGTTACAAAAAAATGTTGAAAGGACCTTTTCTCATCGAGTTCAATGGCTTAAATAATATATTTTTTTTTAATTTTACTTAACGAAAATAGCAAATGGTTTAAATTGATAACAAATCAAAATATAAAAATTTAAATTGATAAAATTATAAATTCAGAATTTATTTTATTAAGAGAGTCAAACTCTTTTTTTTTTTCTCTTAATTTTCTATCCAATGATATTTGTCAAAGGAATTAGTAATAAATGCATAAACGGGTATAGAATAATATCATACAACACTTTGTCATAAATAAGGGAACCTTGATAAATTTAATTTATTAATAATAAATAAACTTTGAGTATTAAAAGAATTAATAATAAACAATTGCAACTGCAGTTAGATATTTGATTTCCTTGCCTTTCATATTGGATGTAGTTTAAAGGACAGAGTTTTCAACTGTAAGGGTTGATAAATTAATTACTTATTCCATTAGTTGGTCAAATTCTGCAACTAGTAAGGCCTCGTTTGGGAACAGGCTAATTTAATAATTTTTTGGCTATTTAGTTAAAATATGAGCTAAAAAAAGGTAGTACGTTTGGGATGATTTTTTGGCTTTTTACGAAAAGATATGCAAAAAGTAGAGAAAAAATAGAATCTTTGACTTTTTTGTATGAATTGTTGACTTTTTGACTAATTTAATAACTTTTTAACTAAAAGGAAGGTTCCCAAAGAAGACCTAAGTAATACTAGAGGAGATCAAGCTAAATACACATTGTTAAAAATTTCAAGCCTGACAAGAGTATAAGTTAAAAATAAAATAAAATAAAATAAAATTGTGTGAACTCTTGAAATTGAAATGCAGGTCTATTCACACTGGTGTCGAGAACAATAAATTAACAAAAGACATAATCAAGCCCTTGCCAAACGGAGGCTTAATAATTTTTTGGCTATTTGGTTAAAATATGAGCTAAAAAAAGGTAGTACGTTTGGGATGAGTTTTTGGCTTTTTACGAAAAGATATGCAAAAAGTAAAGAAAAAATAGAATCTTTGACTTTTTAGTAT